CTTTGTGCGATATATTCACAAGTTCAGAAGTAGAAGATGTGATCGCTGGAACAAGAAGTTTATCTGCCTGACGTTTTGGGACTGCCTCGCGAACCCTTACTCATAGGTAACCGTTGAATAGGGTAATACATGCACAGATATATGCAAAAATAACCCAGTATTTATAGTTCATCGTGGTCACGCGACAGCCTGCGCAGTATAATTGTCAGCTCCCTACCTACAGCTGGGGGTCATAATTGGTGCGGTGATGGCTGGCCGTCCGCGTACGAATCGTTAGTTGCCGCAATTTCGTCCTCAATGTTGGATGCAAGTTTGATAATTACGCGACAATTATGTTCGCTGCCGTCGAAGTTGTTTCAGAGCTCGGTCCTTCCCATGTGACTGATTCTACTGTTCAGACAACGTATCAGTACGGAGTATGAGAATGGCAAGTCATTGCGCTTGTTGATTGACTGTGAGCCGGACAACCATGACTCGAACAGCTCGCGGCTCACTTCGTACTGAGAAGTTGTCTGAGCAGGAGAATCAGTCGCATGGGAAGGGCCGAGCCCAGCAATAACTCCGACGACAGTGAACATAATTGTCGCGTAATCACCAAGCTGCATCCAACGCGGATGAAGAAATTGCGGCAATTAATGAATCGGACGCGGACGGCCAAGCCATCACCACATCAGTTACGGCCCGCAGCTGTAGTTAGAATGCTGACAATTATACTGCGCAGGCTGTCGCGTGGCCGCGACGAACTATAAATACTGGGTTATTTGTACATATATCGCCCTAATCTGTACATCTATTACCCTATTCTACGGTCACCTATGATTACGGGTTCGCGAGAGAATACGAAACGTCAGGCAAAAAACTTCTTGTTCCAGCGATCGTATTTTCTACTTCTGAACTGCTTCCTTTAACGCGAATATTCGCCTACATCGTAAATATTCACAAGTGACCGATCAAGCCAATGCGTGGGGTGCATGTGTGGTGGCAATAAGGGCAGGATAGATTGGGTTCTGCAAGGTCGGTTGTGGTGGTGATGCTGCTAGTGGTAACCACGCTGGTGGATGGGGCGTTGTTAATGCTTAAGATGGGATAGTATTCGAATATGCAGGGTGTGTTTGGCGTGTCGGTATTTTGGTGAGTTCCATTCAAGATTCGGAGAGAAAACAAAACAAATGTGGTCTAATTTGATTATGACAACCAATCGCTGTATGAAAATACGGTGCTTTCGGTGCCTAACCTTCTGCTTCAGCCCCAGAAGCCAGGATAGGCTGGATGATAGCCGCGAAAAACATACAAATGCACGATAGATTGGCTATGCTCTACATCTGGATAAGAAGTTTCTGAAGTTCAGGACTAAAGGTGTGCCTATGATTAGATTAACATCAAGAACAAAAACAAAAGAGGAAGGGCGATATGCAATGATAGGTAATATAGTCAGAAGAGATATCAAACGAAATAACTGGATATTGTATATGGTCATGAAGTCTGATAGCAAACAGACATTTGGGGAGAAAAATGTGCTTCCGCCTAAAACGGAAAAGCACTGATTGCATCTTCTTAAATAGTCCCCACGGGTTTGATAAGACAGAAAGATTAGGGTAAGACAGATCAGGCGCCATCAAACCAGCAGGACGTTGGCATGAGAAATGACGGGAATAGTTGGCATATTGAAGGTCACTTTCCCATTGGTTCCCTACCTACAGTAATTATAGCGCTAACTCCGATGGGCAGACGATCAATACTTCCGAAAGGTACTTGGCAAAGTCTGAAATTTCAACAATTGGGACACTCGGCAGTGGACTTACTACGATCTTTTGTTTTCGCAAAGCAAGAAAACTCCTCATAAGTGTTCAAGGTCATAACAAAGCAACCAAATGCCAGGCCGAAGACCGTCAGAGTATGATAACAGAGGGAGTTGTAGAGACGACGAATAATCTAGGTAGATTGAAACAGAACTGTTTCGGAGCTAGTCTGCCTTCAGTCAAGGTTATGACTGACTGAATAAAGACTGAACAAGCCCGAAACAGTTCTGTATAAATCTACCTGCATTTTCCGTCATCTCGCCCCTACCTGCAATGAGAACCCTGAATGGGACAGCTTATGAGATATGAAGGTGGGGATCGTTCATGTACGTACTTCATGTTTAAAACAGAAACAAGAACCGCTCTCTTATAGAGGTGGCATTGCGATAAATTCCAGTGAAAGAAGAGATAAAGTCGAGATGGACGTGTTGTTGGGAATAAACGTATTGCTAGGATTAAGGGTAAGGGTAGGGTTACAAGTATGGCCACGGTTAGAATTTGGGTTAGCGTCAGGTTTGGAATAAGGAAATATTTACCCCATCTGCAATCCATATAAGGTTACAGGTGCAGTGTACCTATTTCCGTGTCCGACGAAGGTGCAAACAAACAATCCGCACCGAAAAGATGAGTCTAAACAACCAGAAAAAGGTCACGCGAAATAGAAGCAAACCGGTGACCGCTGAATTCGCACCAGATGATCCATCTTCGAGTCAGTACGCTTGTGCCCGCTAAATGTGCAAAGGAGAGCTCTCCTTGATTAACGTTCGCCTGACCGCTAACTGAACTCATCCGTCCCGCTCTGCCTTGGGCCTCGACAGAGACCCTAACAGCCGTAACAGCTGATAGTATTACTGGCAAAGACAAGGGAAGCTGGAGTGG